GAGCTTCTTGGATTTGTGTGAGTTTTTTCTTCCCTATGTCAGGGAAGTTTTCTGTCATTATTTTTTCAAACAGGTTTTCTATTCCTTGCTCAGTTTCCTCTCCTTCTGGCACCCGTATTATTCGGATGTTTTTTCATTTCGTGTTGTCCCAGAGTTCTCTTAGGCTCTCCTGCTTTTTAATTCTTTTTTTTCTAGAAGCTGCTCTGCTTGGGTATTTTTTCCTACCTTGTCTTCTAGCTCACTGATGCGGTCCTCTGCTTCTTCTAGTCTACTGTTGATGCTTTCTATTGTGTTCTTTATAGCAGTGATGTCATTTTTCATTTCTTCTTGGTTTTTCTTCATTTCTTCTTGGTTCTTACACATATTGTTGAATTTGTCTTCCATTCTTTTCGTCCACCTTATCACCATTTCTCTGAATTCTTTCTCTGACACGTTGCTTGCTTCCGTTGCCTCCATTTCGTTTACTTCCTTTTCTGGTGATGCCTGTTTTTCTTTCATATGCGGGCTGGTTCTTGGTCTCCCCATGATCTCTCTTCTCCAGGTGTTTGGTTATGTAGTTCTCTCTCTGCTTTCCGTGAGGAGAAGCAGGGCTCCACGTAGTCGCACTGTCCATGATCCGGTGTTTCTGGGTTAGCAGCCGATCTCTCAATGCCGGGTCTTTGGATGTATACACTTCCATTAACAGCCACTCAAGATGGCGCAGTTTCCGCGGTTGAGCCGGTGCTCTGGGAGAGATTCCAGCTGCAGTCTCCAACTGTCCCCTTTCTCCGGGAGTCCTCCGCCTTTCCCGGCTGCAAACTGTCTCTCAGCTGAATATCCTCTGCTTATTTGGGCTGTATGTTACCCGCTTCAGCTGCTCACCCTATCTGCTCTAGGACAAGGCACGGGACATGTCTGTCTATACCTCCGCCATTTTTTCTCCCCAACAGTATCCAATTTTTTTTAAATAAAGGGCTAATATAGTAGATATTTTAGGCTTTGCAGTCTCTGTTCCAACTTTGCCACTGTACTTAGAAAATAACCACTGACAATACAGAAACACATGGGCATGGCTGTGTTCCAATATAGTTTTGCTTATGGACCCTGGAATATGTATTTCATATAATTTTCATGTATCATGCAATATTCTTCTTTAGATTTTTCAACCATTTAAAATGTAAAAAAATCATTCTTAACTTTGGCTATGCAAAAATAGGTGGCAGTGTGCTGGCTTTGACCTTTGGGCCATAGTTTGCCAAGCTCATCACTAAGAGGTTAAGGTGCATGCATATGAGTGTTCACCTAGTAACTGTTGTACTATTTGTAAAAATGTTGGGTGTTTATAATCAGCAGGGTTAGAGGTTTGCCCTATACCCAAATTTTAATTCTGGCAGAAAACTGAATTTGATTTTAGTATTCCACTAGAGCAGTGGTCAGCAAATTCATTAGTCAACAGAGCCAAATATCAACAGTACAATGATTGAAATTTCTTTTGAGTGCCAAAGTTTTTAAACTTAAACTATATAGGTAGGTACATTGTTATTAACTTAGTTAGGGTACTCCTAAGGCTTAGGAAGAGCCACACTCAAGGGACCAAAGAACCGCATGTAGCTCGCGAGCCACAGTTTGCCGACCACTGCACTAGAGTATTAAAGGGTTAACTACATATGCTTTCATCTGAAAAATCTGCCAAGAGTTCATTGGCCCAGGTTCAGGGTTGACATGCTGCCTAATCATAGTTTATTACTGTGCTACTGGCCTGTTCTTACAGAGCCTTGGATCTGAGGCTCCCTGGGCAAAGGAGGTGGGGGGCTTCTTGGCTCAGGGATAGACTAGAAACATAGCAAACACTACTCATGCAGGGGGGAAGAGAGGCTGGTTTTGGAACTACTGGATGAATTGACAGTGTCTTCCTTCCTATTGTGCTGCAGGCACAGGGTGGAAAACAAGGTATCTGGCTGATAACCACTTGCTTCTACCGAAAGAGCAGCCAGCTGATAGTGTGAGCTCTTATTGCACTTATGCTGCCCCAATTCAGCTACTCTACTTCCCCAGCTCTGTTTTCTCTCTTCCCAATAAATAAATGCAAGAGTGGCAGTACTGTCCTATTACTAAGGATATATTCTTAGCACTAAATGTAGCACATAACTACAGCTTACCATGTGTAAAAAGAATGAAGAACTTGTCTTACAGCTGGTGAACTTAAGGCGGGGAGGGGGCAATACACAAAGGGAAGAATGCCAACTCTTTAGTATCTGTCAAAGCAGTCCCTCATATTAAGGTTCTTGATTTAGGATAAAGGATAATGCTATAAATGAGGATACTAATTAACTATTACTAGAATATTCAATGTAAAAACAAAATGTTGACTTTAAGATCTTATCTTTCAATTATCTTGCTTGTTGTACAAGGGAGACAGTGTTTTTGCAGATACCAACAGCCATACTTTTGTGCACAGCAAATGTAGTGGATGTGACACAGAAGGACTGCAAATACTTTTGGAGTGAGTTATGTGTCTGTCCAATAAGGATACATATGGTTTCCCAGCTAGAGTTGTAAGTATTAAGGACCCACTCAAATAGGGGAAACTCCTCCATATATGTAGGATATATTTTTGTATTATATTATATGGCATATATAATATATTGTATATTTATATTAGATAGATAGATAGATAGATAGATAGATAGATAGATAGATAGATAGACATAAATAGAGACAATGAAGTCCTCTGCTCAGAACATAGCAAGCTTGGAAAATAGATTTATGTATATGTATGTATCTATACTAATAATAGAAGAATATGCAAATTGTCCAGGACACTGTCACAGTAACAGTAACTACCAGCAGGCTGTCTGGGGCTACCAGGCTGGCAGGCGGGTTAGTGAGGGATGACCAAATGACTGAGCAGCAGGCTGCATGAGGCGACCAGGCTGAAAAGGGTTAGTGGAGGGACGACCAAATGACTGAACCACAGGCTGTGTAGGGTGACCAGGCCAGCAGAGGGGGGCAGTTGGGGGCGACCAGCCCAGCAGAGGGGAGCAGTTGGGAGCAACCAGGGCGGCAGGGGGGCAATTGGGGGCGACCAGGCCGGCAGAGGGTCAGTTGGGGGCGACCAGGCCAGCAAGTGGGGCAGTTAGGGGCGACCAGTCTGGCAGGGGGGGGCAGTTAGAGGTGATCAGGCCAGCACACAGAAGCAGTGAGGGGTGATCAGGCTGACAGAGGGGGCCTTTAGGGGTGACCAAGCAGGCAGGCAGGTGAGCGATTAAAAGCCAGGGGTCCAGGATTATTTTTCCAAGATTTCTGTGAAATAAGCAGGGGGGTTCCATTGTCTCATGTTATAGTGAGATATGACAAAAACCTCAGCAATTTTGGGACTGTCTCTTTATAAATCCAGAACATCTTCCAAAAATTTGTAGTTGACTATTATAGTCAGCAGTCCCTACAAGGATTGAAAAGCCAGGGGCTGAGATTATTTCAGAATTGAGTGTCTAGGACTATGCTGACTAGACAGTTCTGCTACTAAAGATGTCTAGGATTTGGGGACCACCTTAAGGGGTCCTCATTTTGGACCTGAGATCCAGAGTTCCTAGACTTTCTAATGCACAACATGTCTAAGTCAGGTTTAGTGAACTCAAGAAGCTTATGATCCAGGTCAATATTAGCTATTATTTTTACCATTATTATATGCCAGACATTGAACTAAGTGCAATTTTATGTACTATCTTACTTAATCTTCACAATAACTGAGTACAATTATTATACATGCTTTATAATGAGGAAATTGAGAGTTTAAGTAACTTGCCTATATTTACATCTTTAAGTGGTAGATCCAGGATTGATACGTACACAGTCTAAATGCAGATACCAAGATCTTAACTCCAACACTGTGCTGCCTCCCCTGAGGACAGAATCTAAGCTCTTCAGATTGTAATTGTGGTGAAGCAATGTAACACATTTGGAGAGGAGCATAAGTTCTATTTTTAAACAATCAGACAATTAATTTGTTTTTTGTCTGGATAGTCTTGCTCTCAGTTAAAAAATCTAGTTCTCTTAAGAATGGATGAAATTAAAATTATTCCACTGCCCTTTGTTCATGTTCACATTTAATAAGTACTAGTATTTATTGTATGCGTTGGGCCTATACATATAAATTTTATCAGAGGTAGCATTTATGAAATTGGACCTTCCACATATAGTTGGTTATCAAGTAAAAGGATATTGAGAAGTCATAAACATGGAGTTGCCACCAAAAGCCATGCAAAGAGATGAAACTGCTATATGCAAAGGTCTACATCAGTGGTTGGCAAACTCATTAGTCAACAAAGCCAAATATCAACAGTACAACGATTGAAATTTCTTTTGAGAGCCAAATTTTTTAAACTTAAACTATATAGGTAGGTACATTGTTATTAACTTAATTAGGGTACTCCTAAGGCTTAGGAAGAGCCACACTCAAGGGGCCAAAGAGCCACATGTAGTTCGCGAGCCGCAGTTTGCCGACCACGGGTCTACACTATCCAATAAGATAGGAACTAGACACACATGGCTAGTTACTTTAAATGAATTGTAGTTAAAAATTCACTTCTTCATTCAGACTGGCCACACTTAATTGCTCAATGGCCAGATGTAACTTGTGGCTACAATATTGGACAGTAAAGGTATAGAACATTTCCACCATTGCAGAAAGTTCTACTGGACAGCACTGATCCAGAGAGAAGGTCAGGAAGAAGAACTAAGAGAAGTGTTGACAGAACCTTGGGTACCACCTACAATTAGGAGTCAGGAAGTAGAAAATGGGGCAATAAAGGAGAAGCTGAAACAATGACCAGGATAATGTGGGGTCAGGAAAGCCAAGAGTGGGGAATATCAAAGAGCAAAGTGTGGTTCTCAATGTCAATTGGTGTACATATCTTTTGAAGTTAAGAGTTGAAAAATATCCTATGGATCTGATAAATAGGACATGTGGTGCACCTTAGTAGACATTGATGATAGGGCTGCTTTATGACAGACACTGCTGGACAGTGGATGTTCCCAGCCTCAGCCCCTCCTCTCAAGCCCAATGGGGCAGACATCACAGAGAGGTGCACTATCAATTTCCTTTTTGAGAGTCTGACTTGCCACTGGCTATAACAGTATGGGTGGCAGCATGTCTCCTTCCCTACTTAATGCTGCCTCAGTGGCTTTTTCAAAGCTTTTGGCCTTGAATATTCCCAAAGAAGTTCCAGGAGTGGTAAAGTGCTCAGAGCTATGGGAGAACAGTACTATTCAATTCATAGGTGATGCCTGAGTTTGGTAATGAAAGTTAAAAATTGAGTCTGACTTTTGTCAAATTTATAAGTAATCAGTAAGAACTGGATGGCAAGTGAAAGAAGACCAGGCAACATCATAGAGAATATTAAATCTCAAGGGCCATTAAAAGCATTGGGAAGGGCCCTTTTAGTTGATTTAAAGTAACCCCCTGGGGTTCTTTTAGGCCAGTGGTCGGCAAACTGTGGCTCGTGAGCCATATGCGGCTCTTTGGCCCCTTGAGTGTGGCTCTTCCACAAAATACTGACTTCTGCGCATGGGCCACAAAGTTTCAATTGCACTGTATGTGCGCGCCCGCATGTGGTATTTTGTGGAAGAGCCACACTCAAGGGGCCAAAGAGCCGCATGTGGATCACAAGCTGCAGTTTGCCGACCACTGTTTTAGGCACACTTAACATGGTAATTCTGCTCTGATCCAGAGCCAGAGAGCAACATAAATCTGCACTTTTGAAATTTTGACCTAGTCCTTGTGGTAATGTAAAATATGTCCATACATGTGTTCCTAGAAGTTGGAGAAAGTTTAGCTTTCATTTTGAACTGTCCTTGTTCTTTTGTTTCAGGTTTTCTTGTACTTGTAGCATTTTAGGCACCACTATGATGGAGTGTTAAAGGGCCTGGGCTAGCATGGGTTAGATGCAGATTCTAATTCAGCTCAGCTATTGACTCAGTGACCTGTCGGTAAAGTTCCTATGCTATATTACTTTACAGGAAGAAAACTGGAGGCCTTGATAGTGAGGTGAAGTGGAATCTTGGATCAGGTGGGGTGGTATGGACAAGGGTAAGCCTTGTAACTTTCAGTCTTCTAATTTGCAATAAATTATCTGTTAAAATCTTTCTTTGTTTTGGCCATACACCCAATACCCTACCCCACTCATATTGGGGTTTCTGGAATCTCAATTCTCCAAAGGGGCTCCAACCTTGCAAAGTGAGGCTAACACAAAGTCAGGCTTGCATCATTTGCCTAATCTTCTTTCCAAAAATCAAAACAGGAATTCAAAGAACACTGGGTGGTTAATGTAAATAAACCACAAATAATCAAATACTTGCAAGGGGCTTTCTCCCCCTTGCCTTTCCCTTCGGCACTTATGTGCACACACATGCACACACAGAGACATGCGAATCACACAGCGGCACCTTTCTGCCTATTTAGTTTAGGATGAACCCAAGGAATTATTGAAGGATGGAAAATGTGTTAGGGGAACTACACTGTAAATAACCTTGTTCTGGCCCAGTTGGCGTGGCTCAGTGGTTGAGCATTGACCTATAAACCAGGAGATAATGGTTTTATTCTCACACAGGGCATATGCCCGGGCTGTAGGCCTCATCTCCAGTGTGGAGCATGCAGGAGGCAGCCAATAAACGATTCTCTCATCATTGATGTTTCTCTCTCTCTCTCTCTCTGAAATCAATAAAAATATTTTAAAAAATAACCTTGATCTGGATTAACTATTCCTTGTTGAGGGACTCTGATGTGAGCATCTCCAAGATTAATAATGGTTGCTGAAATTGTCAGAAGTTTGGGAACCAGATTATTCCTTCAATTGCAACCATCATCTCCCCACTTGTTCCCACCCACCCTCACATGTTCTAACAAGGCATGCATATCATCTAGCTTAGTTCTTGGCCCATAGCAAGGACTCATAAAAGGCCACTTTTATTCATGAAGTAACTGTGCTAATCATTGTTAAGAATAGAGAAGGGGTAAAATAAAGGGTTCTGACTTTCAGTATTAGCAGTAACAATTGCCATTTATTGAAGGCCTATCATGTGTCCCTTTCTTTACTTCAATCATCTCTTCTTAGCCCCAGGACAACCCTGAACAGCCCAATTTACAGATGAAGGATTGAAATTCAGAGAGGTGACATAATTGCCCAAAATCACATAGTTCCTAAATGGCAGAATCAATCCAGGTCTTTGACTCTGGAGGCTATATATCCTTTCCACATTTCCACACTTAATTCAAGAAGCAGGACAAAGGAGACAATGAAGAGCTCAGGATTAGGCCAGAGTGAAGCAGGCTGGACTATACTATGCAGGGTTAAAGGTCACCCCATATCCCTTGTAAACCAGGGCCTGGGATCAGCAAGCTGGGCCTTTATAGCTACTCCAGGCATTTTCTTTCTCCTCAACCTGTATTATAACTTAGTTCGTCCCTTGTTTGTTTGTCCAGAGAAACAGGTTGTAAGAGAAAGTACACTTGAGGTGTCTTCCGGAATTATGCCCTGCTTTGCTTACTATGAATAGCTTCCTCTCAGCCAGTTTCCATCAATGGCATTTTACAGGGAAGGTGACCAGTTTGAAATAAGCCCTAAGGAAATGTCAGGACACCAATATTCTCTTGGTATGTGCAGTGTTCCCAAGTTTTTGCAAAAAATTAGAAATGTTGAGATCTTGAAGCAAAAGTGGTTTGATCATATTCACAATGTCATTCTAAACCCTTGGTCTGGGATCTAAAGGTCACCATATATTTGCTTCTTTACTTATTAACCAAAAGCCAACAATGATTCAGAGCAATCTGCAATGGAAACTGAGTGTAGCTGTGTGCAGTAAACATTTTTATCCTCTCAATTCCCATTCGTTACAATAGGCTGCAATTTGCTCTTTGTTACCCAGTTGGCCTTAAAGAACTAGGTAAGGTAAGGGATCTCTGTGCTCTTCAAGCAGATCTGGAGTGTGAACACATCTGTAAGAAGTATGTGCAGACCATTACAGATAATTAAAAAGGGAGGGGGGCATGAATTTATTTACCAGGCCACTTTCATTATTTTCCATTAGTAAATAGCCAAATAATTGATTGTGGATTTATTATTAAATTAA